TAAGCAACCAGAAGAACAAAAATTGTAGATGTTTTTATAGATCTTTTTTTTCCTATGCTTCATTATTTAGAAGATTGCGTAGTGATACATGGGTGGCAATACTGAATTTCTCAACATCAAAGTATTCTGCAAGAACTTACTGCATTGAAAAGTTCAGAAATGTAAGGATTTACTTGCTCGGTTTGCAAAAGAACATTGCAAAAAAAAATTGCTAAGTCAGTAGCTTTTACTTCTTAAGCTTATAAATGACTAAACTTAAATATCAGCTTGATTAGCCTCACATGCTGTACATTATCTCTTCAGTCTTGCCCACACAAGAATATGTGCAGTATCTGTTTCACATTCACTAGGCTCTCTTCCTGCTCTAAGGTACAAGACTTTAATACCTCACCAATAGCCACAGCTGTTTCCAGCATAGCTGTTATCCATTTGAAACTGATGATAACAAAAAGAAGTTATCCCATGATACTGTCAGGAGAAAAATCTGAAGCCCACTTTTCTTTCAAAAGTACATCTGAACGAGTACCTAAAGGTAATCTTCATAAATGACATAAACAATAGTTGATAAACACCATAAATGGCAAAAATCGAGTGGCTGTCACAGATAATTCGAACAATTGCTTTTGTCAAGAATGCTTTAACAGAGTTACACTATGAATAAAACAATACACAAAATCACCAAACACACTCTACGGCATTACCGAGCCAGAACCAAGAATCTGGCAATAAAGGTAGATACTCCAAACTACTAGGATCAGTGCCCAGTTAACAAGTTTATAGCTAAAAATGCTCTGCCACTGAAAAAGAGAGGAAAAAAGAAAGAGACAGCTGATGGCTGAGAACAATGAGAGTAAGCCCAGCAGAATACTGTGGACTTTGCATTGTGTCCTAAAGGCAAATCAGATTATTAGAATGTTAAGCTTGGTTCGAGAGCCTTTGTGAAAAATGATGGTAATAATTAACCAAAATTTGTACATCAAGAACAAACCACAACTTTAAAAATTCTGTAAAAAGAAAAAAAAAGGTTTTGTGAAACTCTGGAGACAAGTTCAGAAACTTTGCTACTCTTCCAGGAAACAACAATAAGTGGCGAAGTCAAAGATTTGCAAGTCTAGCAGGGTTTAGAATATCATAGAATGGTTTGGGTTGGAAGCAACTTTAAAGACCATCTAGTTCCAACCCCCTGCCATGGGCAGGGACACCTTCCACTAGATCAGGGTGCTCAAAGCCCCATCCAACCCAGCCTTGAACATTTCCAGGGAGGGGGCATCCACTTCTCTGGGCAACCTGTTCCAGTGCCTCACCACCCTCATAGTGAAGAATTTATTCCTTATCTCTCATCTAAATCTACCCTCTTTCAGTTGAAAGCCATTACCCCTTGTCCTATCACTACATGCCCTCGTAAAAAGTCCCTCTCCAGCTTTCTTGTAGGCCCCCTTCAGGTACTGGAAGGCTGCTGTAACATCTCTCCAGAGCCTTCTCTTCTCCAGGCTGAACCACCTCAACTCTCTCAGCCTGTCTTCACAGGAGAGGTGCTCCAGGCCTCTGATCATCTCCGTGGCCCTCCTCTGGACCCGCTCCAACAGGTCCATGTCCTTCTGATGTTGGGGGCCCCAGAGCTGAATATTCAGAGAATAAAGACATTCCAATCTCAATTTTTGCTATGTTATGTGCAAACAACGTGTTCTGTTACAGTAGGAGTACCAATGCCCCTTGTTCAGCCTCCATAACAAATGAAGGCTCACAGTTGATCCCACAGAAGCAATATCCAAAAACTTTTAACCCTAAACCTGAAATTTTTCTCATTAGCTTTCTTGCAATCAGCTAGAAAGGCCATCAAACAAACTTAAAGGCTAAAAAAAAAATTTGCTTGGTTCTAGGTAAATAAAGTGACACTCCAGATATGCTATGTTATCATTACTAAGTCTGCAATCACATCTAAAAGGCAGAATTTGGTTTTAAGAACAGGTGCCCAAAATGAATGAGCAATCCATACCTCACCTATGATTTCAGCCTTGTGACTCAAAGAACCACAGCAGACCACTTTAGTAAGGCAAAGCCACATAATGCAACTTTAGTAAGTTGATCTTGACCACTGCAGTAATTAAGTAGATGAAAAACAGAGAACAAGTCCCTCATTCTCAAATGAGGAAGGCAAGATTACATGCCTGTTTCCCAGATGTGTAGCACTGAGATAAAAATGCTGCTGAGCCCAGCTTATACAGCATGGAAATGGGAAAAAGCTTAGATTCCTTAATTTTCTATCAAATGCTCTGTTTGTGCGGTTGTTGTTTAAAGGTGTCACGTTACAGAAATTTTAACAAATGTATTGAAAGATTTTCCTTCAACTTGATTCATCCTTCTAAATATACTGAGCCAAGAACAGCTTATTCCGACTTGACAGCATACCATTATAAAACAATAGCAGAACGTGTATTATCAATTACACATGCAAAGTGACCTAAGTACAAAGTCATACATTCTCCCAGCTTAGCTGCTGCCAAAAATGTGTGTCAGAAAAGCTTGAATTGTCTGAAACAATATGCACAGTAATTTCACTTTAGTCTTACTCTTTGCAATTACCTATTCAAAGACCTATCCTTGTTAAGCACCTCAGTGATGCATATCATTTGGTAGGCCAAGTCCTCCCCCTTAGATTCAGAATACCATGGATTCTACTTCTACTAAACACATCACGTTTTAACATTTCTCGCAAGAACTGCGCCGGGTACCCCGCTCACCTTCCTCTTAAAGAAGATAAACATAAAAATACTATTTTAGATTTCTTCAAGCATCAGCAGATGTCATACAGCAAGACAACTAGTAACAGAAGCCTAGTCAAAGAACCTGTCAAGCAGCATCTGGTACATACAAAAAGATTTAAAATTAATGCTGCTTCTGAAGACAACAAAGTTATTTCCAAAAATTTTCTGAAAGACACTTTTCTAGAAAAGTACTAGAAAGATTAACACTGTGAGAACCTGAAAGTGAAAAACTTCAAGATTCACTGACATTATCAAATAGATCACACACCTTTAGCACAATGAGTCTATGAATCAATTTGAGCTGTTTTCAGTACTGCCTCAGTTGTCCATTCTTATAATCTTTTATTATTTTTTGGGGGGGAGGGAGGAGGAAGGAAGTGTGTGTTAAAGAAAGGCTGTAGTTCCCCTGTGGTCATGCGACTTCTAGACCACAGTCACTGGTTATACAGAAAACAAAGTCAAATACAACAACATCAAATACAGAGGAAAGATGACTGCTGTAGTTGAAGCTAGAAGCAAGTTTCTTGACATGCAAGATTACTTCCAGCATTTCAGCTTTAAATAAAATGCTCTCACAGTGTATTTTAACCAAATCCAAGAACTTAAATAGTAGTTCACTTTTGTTACATGGAAAAGTTGAAAAATTTGCAAACTAGGCCTCATTATAGCACCAAACATTTGTTATGTTTGAAAAAAAATAGTTTAAGAATGCCTGCTTTTCCAGTTTTGCAATGAAACACCTGATAGCCACTTGCTTTGGCTGTTTTCCCAGTTATCCCCATTTTAGAACGTAACTATACTGCTAGCTTTCCAAAATGCAATTTCTATTCTTTCAGTTGTGAAATAAAGGCATCCATTTGAAGAAAAGAAGGAAACTGTAGTCTAAAATAAAGACTAAATCTGCTTTCACATAAGCAACTCTGTTTAAGCTGCAACTATTCTGCTTAAGTCAGATATGTTTATTCTATTCCTGCAAAAGGCTGTAGTGAATGAGGCCAGATGGCCACGACAACACTGTCTCCTCTGCTATATAGCTCCAGCTTACATTCAGGAATACAGCCAGCTGTGTTGGGGGGCAGGGCGGGGAGAGAAGGGAGAGGAGGGGAGCTATTAACCACAGAAATGCAGACGTGTTTTAGGTTTTGTTAAAATTAATACATGATCTACAACATGTCATCATTATGACCTTACAATAGACCCTACAGGCCACTACTGATACAGGTGCAAATACAACAAAGTCAGGGAAGGGTTAACAGATTAAAAGGCATCCACAGTTTAACCCAGTACGTAAATTTAAATCATTTCTGCAGCTCAAGGAACAAAATTCCTTTATACCATAGTGCAAACATAAGAAATACTAACTTTAAAAACAATTATTAACTAAGTTTAAAGAAAAGAAGAGCTTCTTGTACAAAGTCTTTCTGGTGAAAACTGAAGTTTTATTTAATCTATTCTGATGCATACATTTAGTAGTTGGGAACTAACCCAGTATAACACCTCAATAATCCCAAGAGAAATAACTCCTCCTAGAGTGTGCCGCACCAGCGATTTTCTTCTAGATGAGGAAATTAAACACCATTGAAAGTTTCAGACAGAATATGAAAAAAGGAAGCCACATAATGAGCAACTGGGAGGGATTAATCTTTGCACTTTAACTGTACGGAAATCCTAGTGACGCATCTGTTGCGGGTAACAGAAAGGGGCTGCCATTTCATTCCTGGTTGAGGTTCTCTGCAGTCTCAAGCCTTGCAGCACGTAACTATGAAAGGAAAAGATACATGCCTGAGCACGTCCCTTGTCCCAACACGAGAAGGGGGAGGGTTAATCACGTCCATCCGCCATTTTCTGAGCGGAGGAGGAAGACATGTTGGAACAAAAAAAAAAAAAAAGCAACAAAAGAAAGCAGCCATTTCCAGTACCGGCTCCAAACTCTCAACCTCATCAAGTACATTGGTTCTCACCGAAACAGTCTCACACTTTGTTCTAATCATGACAAGAATTCCTCATAGCTTAGGAACTACTGAAGATCTCACTTTCAAAGCACAGTATGTACGCATAAGAAAAGACAACGGGCCCGTGGGGAGGACACCGAACTAGTTGTAGAGCTTGGAATGAAGCATTTTTCCCCCAACAACCCAATCCCTCCCAAATATATGTCTTTTTTAATGGTGGTGCCCAGCCTCACAATAACATAAAAGAAAAGTTGCTGTACTGGCTTACATGAATGACTCCTACCGTATATGTGGGATGCCAACTCCTCCCTGCAGAATCTTGTATAGTTTGCTTTCATACAGCAGCTGGGGATGTCTAGCCTTCTGAGACTCCAACTTTACAGCAACTTCCTATAGTGAGAGGGAACAAGGAGTCAGAGCAGAGTGTCCACCAAGCACAGCCTTGCCACTGAGGTTTAAGGGGCACAGCACTTCAATATCCCACACACACCCCTGCTGCAAATGCTCTGAGGTATAATTTTTTTAAGCTCTTGGTGCTCAATGTCCTGCATTTTGTTGCATCTTCAAATAAAATCCATATCGTGATGATTTGTACATAAATATCCATCCCAGGTCATGAAATTGAGCTGGAAATGTAAAGTCTTCAGATCCATATAAGTGAGGAAGAACATACGTGGGTGTTTCTTCTTTACAGCTCAGAGCCGTGAGGGGGAGGAAGGGAAAAAAAAAAACCCCAAGAAAAAAAGAGCTGAAGAAACAGGGGATCTTCTTTGTTTCTTTTACTGTTGATGATAACGAGATAAAGTGTTCCCCAGCTGAGAGTGGGACAGATGACTGGCGGGAGAGGTACAACTTTGGCTGCTCATAAAAGACAAAGTATGTTTTCCCACAATGGTAGTCTCCTCTCCCTACCACCAACAAGCGAGCTATGCAACTGCTGGGTGGGGGAGACCACGACCGCACAGCTCTGCTGTTGGAAGGGGCATGCCGCCCCCCCGGCGGTGAAGGCCCTCAGGCGGGGGAAGCCCCTCAACCCCGGGGTACGCACCTTCACTCCCCCACCCCGCGGAGGGCTACTCAGCCACCCTGGCGAGACGGGACCGCCCGGTGCCTCGCAGGCAGCGATACCGGGGGCAAGAGGGGCAAAACCAGGCTTCAAGTCGGCCTCGGGAAGGTTATCGCTGGTCTCCGGTTCCCCCGAGGTGAGGAAGGGACCGCGCCGACA